TCGTGGTTTCAACAGACAGATTCACATCGCTAAATCGACTTAGAATTTTATACTTATCATGAATATATATACTTTATGGGTCTACAACGAATATTTCAAGGTGGAGGGTATAATAATATATAGTGCAAGAGAAAATATCATCTTATCAAAGCGCTACAGAGATTTGCACAATGATTTCATTTTTAAAATTTAAAAAATTATAAAGATTATTTGTCATAAAATTTTAATATACGCCCTAAAGTATATCAAAAGTCTATATCTTATCTAATCGAGGGTTAAAGCCGTACTTTTTCTGAGTTTATGTAAAAATCTTCCACAAAGTGTCATTTTTGAAGGATAATATTAACAAAAACTTCATAAAATTTCACTATAAGTACTGAACGGTACAAACTCTTGTAAAATTTGAAATTAGTGGAACGGATGGAGCTGGGATCCTGAAACTTGAAATTAACATTACTGGCAGAATGCAGGATTGAGATATGTAGGATGCATTTCGTTGACTGTTGACATTTCGAATTATTTTTGGAAATAAGTACTACAAGAGTATAAATGGTACAAAATTTAGTAAAGAGTGTAGGGATAGAGTTAGATTTCTGAGTTTTGGCATTGGGGTCAGAATTGGTATGTAAGGTTGTGAAACGGAGGTGGTCTTGGAAATACGTACCGTAGATGTACGAAAGTACTAAAACTTCAATTATGGTCCATATTGGTGTATAGGGTTGAGATATGAAATGGTTTTTGAAATGTATACATGAACGAAAAGAACCAAGTGGTACTAAAATTGTGTATGTGTCTTTATCCGATATCAGATTTGTTGTGCACCAAAGCCCAAACTAACTGAATTTTGGTAATTCAGCCTAAAAGCATGTACTTAAAATTTTATAAAAATCAATTCAGATATAGCTATAGCTCCCATATATATGTTTTATACGATTTTGTGTTGAAGTCCCTCACATGCGTAATATGCACTTCACAACAATGATATTTGATACCGGGCATCAGATACTGCTCGAAAATACTTCTGCCAAATTTTATTGAGATCGGTTCAGATTCGATACACATCTTCATCCGATTTTACACTATCAGCCCAAATTGAGTAGATTTTTTCATATTCAACCGAATTTTACCACTCAGTGAAACTTGGTCCGGTATACCTATTGCTCCAGTAAATATTTTGAATATAAAACTTGTCGAAGTCATATCATGTACTATACAGCGATGTTATTTGGTTTAGAGTTGGTATGATCTACTTCAGATAAATTTCGAATATAAACTATAAATTTTTTGTTACAGGATCTCTTCTAAATACGCATAGTGGGCCCCGCTCGACTTTTGACCTTTCCTTACTGGTATAATTTTAAAATTTGCAAAACATGTATGAGTATAGGGGGAAGCCCGTGCCTACCCCTATCCGTTCGGATTAGATCAACTTCGGAAAACAAATATATTTAAGGTTCCTCCTTACAATTTAACTATCTCTTCCCTCATGAAAATATAAACGTTTATCCTATGCCTTGGTCAAATGAAATCTCCTTATGTCATTGATCAAGCTTTGAGCTCTTTCTGTTTAAATACGAATTACATTTCTCCTTTAAAGCATAAATCCCACTCTTATAAATATCGGCTATACCACACAACGGCACCAACATCTCTCTCTCTCTCTCACTCTCCCTCTGCGTAAAGTCCAAAACCACCAGCAAAAGACCACAAACAATTTTACGGTTTGAGGTCAATCCAAATTTAATCGTTTTAAAATTTCAACGTTGTCTGCAATATTTTCACTGTCAAAAATTTAATTCACATTATTTATTACTTTGCCATTTTCGGACGGGTCTGGCATCCTGATGGGTTTGTTTGTTCTTTTTTTTTCATTTCAATTCGTTTTTTTTTCGTTTTTTGGCTGACTGAGCTGTCGTTCTTGCAGACAGATATCATGGCCGTCATCGTGGCCACTTCAACGCTTCTTGTTTTGTGAACAGCGCGTTTACACTGATTCGCATTGGTATGACGTTTCGTTTTGTTGTAATGCTTAACACGGGTGAACAAAAATTTTGTCGTATTTTAGAAAATATTCTCGATTTGATTTAAGGTAAGGGAAAGGGCATTGGAAGATTTGGTTATAAGGAACATTGGTGTACAACCGGCGGGTATTTATTGTTAATGAAATAAAATTGAATTTCAAATATTAATATATTAACAATTTTGTTGCCCTGTATAATGTTTATTGTCCAATATGGACACTCCATGATGTTTGTTGTCTGTTCAAATGTATGTTCATCTACCAGAGACTACATCATTTGTATTCGGGTTCGTTTTGAATTGTTTTTCAACATCATATTTTGATACAATTGTTATTTCTTTCATAGACAATGGCAGGAGCAACAGCAACAACAACAAACAATCATACATTTTATGTTATCAATGATAAATGTACATTTCTTCCGAGTGAAATGCTTGAAAGCTTTCCCTTTGATACAATTCACATTTTAAATAAATAAATAATAGCTGGAGACTTTTCACTATTGAAATTCGTTTTTGGAATTGGTTTAAAGCTAACTTTTAGGGTAGATAATATTTGTATCGTTTAATGTTACTTTTCAACAAAATTGAATTTTATGGGAAGATTCTCCATTTTCGTAAATTCAAATTTACAAACTTATTTTTACTGTATGATTTGAAAATTAGTAAGCGGAAGTTAGTTAAGACCAGTAAGGAAAGCTCAAAAGTCGGACGGGGCCGACTATATGTTGCCCTACACCACTATGTATATTTAGTAGAGCTCTCGTAAAAGAAAGGTTTATATTGCCATTTCTGAGCTCTATTAGATATCTGGCACAAAATATCATTATGTTAGAGTGCATATTTCGAAAGTTGGAGATTTAAACACTAAATCGGATGAAACATATATATGGGAGGAAATTTTAAAATCTTGCTTCCATGCTAAACTCGGTTGAATTGCGAAAATTCACTCCATTTGGACTAATATTAGCCATTTGGTGCACAATAAACCTGAAATCGGATAATGATATATATGGAAGCTATATCCAATTCTGAACCGATCTTGATAAAATTGAAAACAGCTATTTCTTGGCTGTATCTGATATCTGATACCAAATATTATTTTTGAGTCGTGCATTTTACGAATTTGAGGGACAAACAACAAATCGGGTGAATTATATATATGGGAGCTGTAGCTATATCTGAGCCGATTTTCACCTACTTTGAAGTAGAATTTGAAGTGTATGCTTGTAGGCTGAATTCGGTAGGAAATGCTAAAATTTACTCCATTTGGACTGATATTAGCCATTTGGGCCACAATAAACCTAAAATCGGAGCTATATCTAAATTTGGACAGATTTTCACCAATTTCAATAGGGTTCGTCTTTGAGCCATACAAATGTTATTTGGAAATGTTCATCTCAATCGAATAATAAATGTGACCTGACTGAATAAATCCACTCAAAATACGATTCTATGCTGATCACCAAAAGGAACTATGGGTCAATCTCATTTCCTTCTCCATGTTACAAACAAATGCCTAAAGGCATTTGGCGTAGGGTATAAATATTGAAATTGAAAATAATCGGTCCAAATTTGTAAATTTTGTAATATTTGGGAACTGATAGTTCTTGAAATCTGAGATTGGGTATTCGGGTCACTGTTCATGTATAGCCTGAACATTTCTCAATATTCCATTCGGCAAATATTGAAAAATGAGCTCGGGGTAAAGCCATTGAAATACCAAAAAGTGAAAGAACTTACACCGCAACCGAAAGAAAATAGACTCAAAAGAGCTAAAGAGTTGCTTCGGTTGGCCGAAAGTGGTGAACTGCCGAATTTGGTTTTCTCCGATGAGAAAACATTCCTTTGTAAGCAAACAAAACGATCGTGTTTACATGTTAAGAGGTCAGCTGAAAATGTGTACCTACGGTTCGCCACCAGAACTCAAGCGGCGGTCATGGTGATGGTGGGGGCCGCCATAACATCCGATGGTCGCTCTCCGAATAAATGCCGAATATTATCGCGGAAATATTCTGGAGCGTGTATTAAAACCTTGGGCACGCAAACATTTTGGCCGTAGACATTGAACATTCCAACAGAACTCAACACCATCGCACTCAGCACCTGCCACCCAAGAATGGTTACAAAATGAGGTGCCTCGCTTCATTTCCAGCGCAAAATGGCCAACAAAATCTCCGGATACCAATCAGTTGGACTATTGTGTCTGGAGTATTTTGGAAAGCAAGATTGGTATTAAAAAATACAAAAGTGTCTATCACCTCAAGCAAGCGCTTCGGCGGAAATGGGCCAAAATATCGCAGAGCAACATTCGGGCAGCGTGTAACGGTTTCATTGGCCGTTTGAGGGCCATAATTCGTGCCAAAGGTGAGCAATTCGAACAAATCTAAACCAATTCTTCAATTTGATGCTATTTTCCACATTTTTTGCTTCCATTCAATAAAATTGAAAAAAAAAAAAATAAATAAAATAAAAATTATGGCGTTTGACTTTGTTGCAGTTTTTTTTTTATCCCACCCTGTACATAATTCAACTCCGAATGTGGTTGTATATAGAACATCAAAGGGAACTATGGGGCTATCTAATTGCCTTTTGCATGTTACAAGCAAATGATAAAAGACATTGTGCCCTGTACCACAGCATAGAGTAGGGTATAAATATATAAGGAAGATTTTGTGCCTTTTGAGCTTAGGATATGATAATAATTAAAGGTCAGCAACAATTGCTGAGGATTCTTTACCCACTTATGCTTCTGCCTAATCATTTTGTGTGAGCCCTAATGTATCTTTTATTTGGGCATACTTCCCTACATGTAGTTTATTATTTAATAGATATATAGGACAGGTAATGTCGCAAAGAAAAAGTAGTAAAGCTGTGTTATAATTAAGCTTAAACCTTGATAATTAAGATGAGATCGGAATTTGACCGATGTGAGGAGCGTAAATATTTAGGAAATTAATAATTTTACGAGTAGGACTTACCCATATATTCCAACGCAGTATCCACGCCTGTTGGCGCAAGAATAAGAAACCACTATTCAATTTAAGCTTGAGAATCATTTCATATGGGTATTGCCTTGGCCGGAAATAAGATAGCATTAACTGTACTCTTGATCCTCTGATGATTTTTCCTGAATGCATATTGCAGCGGTAGAGTTATACATAAAATCTTGAGCCTTGGTCCTTTTTTTAATCTTTAAACATTGGTAAAACAAGTTGAATAAATCATATACGTTTACCTTCGGATATAGATGTAATGCGAGCTTGATAATAGCTTACAATATGGCATTGGTACTGTAAAGGAAAGTTTTGACTTTTCAATTATTTCATGAATTCATCTTGCGGCATTCGGTTTTCATATATAAAATATCGGATTCCAAGAGTAACAGTTTTTCGATGATTTCAGGTCTTAGATTTCTTTCTTATTTAAGGATATACATTTTCGTCAGGATGTTATTTCTCTTAACACATATAATATATTTTTTTCGAATTTATTTTTTCTCTTTCTTTCAATATCTATCCAAATAATAATCTTCAATATAAAAATGTTCCTTATTTGTTCTTTTTTTTTCAAAACGACAAAAAAAAAATTCATCAGCCTACTACAAATTCCAATTTCAAAAATACTTGCCTTACAGTACTAGGAAACTACATGAGTTTTGGTTTCGAATTGATCAAAGTCACAAACTCGAAGTTCAGCTATTCTTCTACTGATGGCAATTTCTTCACTCGAGTACGCGACTATTGAAATTGGTCGAAAGGCTAGAGAATTGAATATAGCTCCCACATAAATCCTGCCCAATTTCACATTTATTGTGTACCGCATATAATATCTGACCAAATGAAGTAAATATTGGCACATGTAACCGAATTCAGCCAAGAAGAAATTAATAATAAGCAATTGGTGAAAATCGGTTTCGATAACTATAACTCACACCCATATGATCCATACTATTTGATAATTCAATATCTAAAGCCGTAAATTGCACTAACAACGATATTCTGTTTAAAATGTCAGCAAGAGAATCAGAATTAGATATAGCCTCCAGGTTTTAGGTTTTTTTTTTGGTATTGTAAATGTGACACATAGGTCCACAATTTGGTATAGCCCCCTTTATAAGCGCACCATACAATTTAAGGTATTTTTGGGGATTTCAGTCATTTTTTTTCAATGTTTAGGCAGTAGAATTGAAATAAGGAGATGGTTTCGGAAATGTGTAGGAAGTGTAAGAACTGTAGAGAATGATACAAATTTGGGAAATGTGGAATGTTAAAATATCGTATTGAAAGCCCCCTGTGCGCAGATGTGTACAATAAATGTTCGAGAAGTACATGGCAGAGAAGTATGGCATGGGAATAGAAGTGACATAATACCCTACAACACTATGAGGTGGGTCTATTATATGTTTGGTTGGCTCAAAATTATGTAAAACCTCGAAACATTAGTCCAAACATAGAAAACTAAAGGGTGATATAAAAAAAAATGCAACAAAGTCAAACGCCATAATCTTTACATTCTTTTTTTTTAAATTTTATTGAATGAAAGCAAAAATGTCGGAAATAGCATCAACTTTTAGAATAAATTTAGATTTATTCGAATTCCTTCTTTGGCACGAATTATGGTCTTCAAACGCCCAATGAAACCGTCACACCGAATCTTGCTCAGCGGTATTTTGACCCATTCCCGGCGAAGCGCTTGCATGAGGCTATCGACACTTGGTATTTTATAGTGCCAGCCTTGCTTTCCAAAATGCTCCAGACACAATAGTCCAACGGATTGGTATTCGGAGATTTTGTTGGCCATTGTGCGCTGGAAATGAAGAGAATAACCTCATTTTGTAACCATTCTTTGGTGGCACGTGCTGAGTGCGATGGTGTTGAGTCCTGTTGGAATGTACAAGGTCTGTTCTGTTGCGGTGTACGTTCTTGCACTTTTTGGCATTTTAATGGCTTTACCCCGAGCTCATTTGTCAATATTTACCGAATGGAATATTGCGATATGTTCAGTCAATTTTCGGCCACTGCGATGCGGGTCTCGATCAAGTCGCTTCTTTACTTTTCGAACCATTTCTGCTGATGTTGCCCTTTTCTTCCGCCCACTTCCTTGACGTCGGGCTACGGAGGGATGTTACGAGACACAAAAGATTTATTTACATTTAAATGCTGGAGTGCTCTAACGATAGCCACTTGTGGTTTTCCAGCCAAATATAAAGAAATCACACTATCACGCTTGAATTCCACCACGAATAACTCTTTTTCTGGAAAATTCTCACCAAAATGCTTTTGTATGCTTGTAAACAATATAATGAGCTGTCACTAGAATAATTTTAACAGCTGTCTGGCGAGTGGCTTAGAAAGGACAGCTGTTTGAAGTTGGCTGCAGTTTTTTCATCTCACCCTGTAAGTGCCTAAAATTTTGTCAAGATCGGATCAGATTTGGAAATAGCTCCCATATATCTTTATCCGATGTCTGCTTTATTGTGAACTAAATGACTAATATCAGCCCAAATGGACTAAATCTTTTTGGTGAAAATCGGTTCAGATATAGCTTTAGCTCCCATTTATGATTCATTCGATTTGCTGTTAAAGTCCATCACATGCGTAATATGCACTGCACAACATTCATAACGGGCATCAGATACTGCTCGAAAATACTTCTGCCAAATTTTATCGAGATCGGTTCAGATTTTTGTATAGCCGGCTGTAATATCAGCCCAAAATGAATAGATTTTTTTATATTCAACCAAATTTTATCATTTGGTGAAGCTCGGTCCGGAAGTCATATCATACAGCATTGTTATTTGGTTCACAATTGGTATGATCTACTTCACATAAATTCCGAATTGAGATAGAAGGCAAAAATTTTGCACACATGTTTATTTTTCCAGTAGGCAGGTTAAGTTTGTAAATGGGCCATGTAGGTCCACGTTTTCATATAGCTATCTATCGATATTCTATATTTTGATGATTTTAGCGACATTATTAACCGGAATCGTTTCAAATTTGGTATTTGAAGTTCGAAATAGATACTACAGCCTAAGGCAGAAAATTATCTGTGCAGGTCCACGTCTTCGTATAGCCCCCATATAAGGGTACCTCCCGATATTCGGTATTTTGATAATTTTAGCGACATTATTCACCGGAATTGTTTCAAATTTGGTATTTGAAATTCGCAATGGGAACTACAGTCTGTGATAGAAAATTATGCAGGTCCAGGTCTTCGTATAGGCCCCATATATCAGTACCTCCCTATATTCCGTATGTTGAGGAGTTTAGGTACAAAACCCACGAAATTGTTTGAGATGTCGCATTTGAAGTTCGTAATGGATGCAACAGCCTGTGACAGAAAATTGTCTACGCTGGCCCAGCTCTTCGCACAGCTCCGATATAACGGTTCCTCCCTATATACGATATTTTGATGATTTTAGCTACATTATTCATCGTTTATTTCAAGTTTCGTGTTTGAATATCGTAATGGCTTATTACAAACAATGCCCATATAGGTCCATGTCGTATAGACCCCAATATAACGGCTATATTCGGTATTTTAAAAATTCTAACAGATTTTTTAGGGATTTTATATTTTGAAAATTTTCAAATTCGTTCCAATTGGTGGAGGGTATTTAAAGTTCGGCACGGCCGAACTTACTGCTTTTTAACTTGTTTTTATTACGAAAGCTCTTCTAAATATACATAGTGGTGTAGGGTATCAAACATTCAGCCTCGGCCGACGTTTGACCTTTCCTTACTGTTTTACTGTCGTGTTTTGGTTTCCTTATAATGGTAGGTCTTATATTTTGACGCTCTGCAGGTTTATGTCAGAGTTGCCAGCGAAAAGTTTAAATAAGCTTAACGGGTTGTAAAATACACATTTTCACATTTCCCATTATCCCATTGAATTGGCTTCTGGCAAGATTTTAGTCGACCCGAAGGAATATGATCATTTTCCAACTGGTTTTGTATCATTTATTCTGTTTTGCATAAATATCCTAAATATCAAAACAATAAGATATTAACTTTTTTACGAAATCTGGGTGACACCCAGCTTTCTCACTTGTCATTTTTTTGTTAAATTAGCCCCCCTACGTTGTGAACTAATTGAGCTCTTGGCTTGCGTGTAAACCTCATCAATTACAATTTAGTGTCAGTTAATCGTTTCTACCGCATGTATAGCTCATTTCATAAAAAGAAGACGGAATGGCTTTGTGCAAAAAATGCAAAAACAAAAAAGAAAAGGAGAGCAATACGCATTCATTTCGAACAAATGATTTGCTTTTAAATTTGCATTATGTTGGGTAAACATGGCACAGCGGCAGCGATGGCGGCAAATGAGGAAGGTGGCCGGACGCCTGTCCGAATCTTCAGGTATTCAGTTGATGTCAATGGCTGTTCCTGTTGGTTCTTCGTCGCCGTCGCCATTGTCGTAGTGGTGGTGGTGGTGCTGGTGGTACACGTAATTTGTTCACAAATCACCTGCGGCGTTAAATGAACATTTCACAAATGCTGTTTTCCAGAGCACCCGGCCACCAAACAAGATGATAATTTCGACAAAGGTCGCTGTGAAAGCAAATTCAAAAACCCAGGGAGGAGGAACAATAACAATGGGGAAGCAACAGCCGGCCAACAACAAGCAACAATTGCAAACTGACAGTGCATTCTGACTGAGTGTCTGGCCGATCGCCGGAGATGGGGGTCAATATTAAATCAGTCAGATGTCACCGTTTGACAGGAGGAGATTCGTTTTCTGTGGAGGAATCGGCGAAACAGACAATGTGGAAAGTTGGACTTGCATGCGAGCGAACTCTCCTTCTGCGACATGAACAATTGGACCAACTAAGACAACATACAATAGCAATGTTGCATGTTGCCCTTTTGTTGAAGAGCGATTGAGTTACCCCCGAACGAATGAATTTTGGATCTCCTTTGTGAGTCTTTTTTGTTTCGTTAAATTCTTGCCAGAGCTTAATTAAGGGCGTTCTGCAGTAATTGTTGGCATTTCGTCCATTAAAATAAATAAACATTTTTTTCTTTCGTTTAAATGAAGCAAATTCAAGTTAATAATGACCCAGTAGTTATTTGCAAATTGTTTAAGACGTTTGCCAAAAATGAAAATAAAACATGATGTCATTTGGCAACATTTGGGAGAAGGTGAGAGTTGTGTGAGGAATAATTTCAAATTTTGTGGAAAGGATTGAAATTCAATGTAGAACATCATACGTAAGTACCCTTCCCTTGATTAGGACCTGAAGATTCACATGAAACAGCATACATTTAAAATAGCAGATTATCAGAAGATTTTCATTAAAATTTTTCCAACCAAGAAACTAATTCTAAAACCAGTAAGGAAAAGTCAAAACTCGGGCGGGACTGACTATATGATACCCAACACCACTATGCATATTTAGTAGAGCTCCCGTAACAAAAAAAATTTATATTGGGAATTTATGTGAAGTAGATCATACCAACTATGAACAATATTTGACTCAAAGAGAAT